ATGAAAAAGCAGGAACCTTTGCACACGATATTTGAACAGAGTTATGAACAAGAGACATATAGATTCCAATAAAAACACACAATCTTTATTGTTTTTCCCGCAGGACACAACAGCTGATACACAACACAACTATTGCAACACAGCTGTTGCAACACATAGATTACTCAAACACTTCTATAGAACATATCCTACAACCTATTCTACCCAGAGTTACGCGACATCACACATACCGTGATTCGCTCCTGAACGTGTTCTTAGTCTACCCATTGTAACGTAACAAAAGTTACGAAACCTATCTCTTTCACTCAACACAACAGATCAAATGGCTCTCACTGTTTCTGAGTTCTTCAAAGACCTATTTCAGAAGAACTAGTTGGCATATGAACTATCCCCTCCCTCCTTTTATAGTAGTTGCAACGACCAACTCCTATAGCCCTAAAAACAGCTTCCCCTTAATCCGAAAGGGCAACAGAACTCTTCATGTTGATGTCAGACCACCAGCCCTATCAACCTTTGATCAACAGTAAGTAACCCAACTTGCACTTTGACTTTGTGCACTTGTGTCAGACCACCGAACCCGACTTCCCACGTACGCTTTCTGGTAGTGCAGTTCCCAACTCGAGGTGCCACCTGGCAAGCCTAGTCACAAGAAGACTTTTCTCTTTAGTTTGCTGATTATTCCTTCCAGCTTCTGTGTAGCACACGAACTCTTCACTAATCATGTTGCTTCAGCAGATCTTCTGCACTAACAATCAACTCCCTACTTCACCATATTTGGAACGACCTTGAGCCGCCCATTGTCCGACTACATTGGTCGTCCGACGCTAGACGACTCGGAGGTCTTGGATTCGATTCATCCCAAGCGAGTCATCTTTATCTTTATCTTTTTTTTTGTCATTTGTGACTTTCAAATTTTCCCATTTAATTTTCCGCGTGTATTTATGGTCTTGGGCGTGTCCAAGGTCCCATATAAACCTCCTTTGTTCATCAATAAAAATCAT